CCCTACGTCCAATGTGTCAGAGCCAACTTCGACCACGTTTTTATTTGAACGCTCGTTACAATGTTGCCCTGAAATATAACGATATGTGTATTTTGAACCTATGAAAAAATAAACTCTTGTATGAAAAAAACTCACTGAAAAAAAGCAAACAAAAAAATACAGTCTCTATACTAGTACTACAATAAGTTGTGACGTTTCAAAAATCAATATGTTTTTTTCAGAACAGATAGTCATTTTAAAATTAATTTTGACAGTTTTTCCCGACAAAGGAACGGGCCCAATGCCGGTATTTTACATAAAAATGGGTTTTTTTGCAAAAACTACGCAACTTAGGTGTAGGGAAAGCTATTAAAAAATTGTAGGGTCTACAGAAAGGCATCTAATGAAATCATAAAACACAGGGTGTTCTATTTGAAAGTCGAGATTTTTCAAATTTTAAATTATTAGGTTTGACACGATTTTTTTTGCCCCCTGTATATCGCAGGTCAAGTTTTGGTACGTTTTTTGAAAGAGCCATCTTCACTCTACAGTTCCTGAAAAAAAAATTATTTCTAGCCATCATACAATCATAATTATATCAACTACTAGAAGTGACGAAACATAAGAAAAAAAAAAATTAAAAGTCGATTATCTCGAAAACTATCAATATTTTAATAGGGATCATAACACTAAGTCCCGTTAAAAAAATATAGGTTTCCATTTAAAAAAAATAAGTTGGTACCTGCCCAGGAAAAACTGAACACCCTGTATATGCAAATATATTTTCATTTTGAAAAAAAAAATAAGTTATATTTTTTATTAACCTAGATATTGGACTTACGCGCACTGGGTGGACACGGTGTATATACGGTTTCCCAACGAAAATGATCACCCTGCTAACCTTTTTATTTTCAACTTTAGGGAAAAAAATTTTTTGTAATGATTGTATGGTTAAGGGTTTCAAACATTTATTTTTAGAAAAACAAACTTCATATAAAGAATGTATTACGTTGAAATTTAAAATGCGTGGGTTAAAATAAACCAATTATCATTATTATCAGAAGTTGATCAGTAAAGCATTTAAAAAAATAAAACTAATATCAGTTTGTAATAATCTAGCTACCTATGTCAATTTTTTGTTTCTCATGAAATGGATTAAAAAAAAAGTCGTTTATAATAAATACCCTATATTTTATTTTGCAACTTATATTGTGCAATATATCTCTGATTGCAGTGAAAAGGCAAAACCTGCCCTCAAATGCGACCTGTGCCCATTTACCACACAGAAGAAGTACAGATACAACCTACACATCACGACGCACATGACCTTAGAAGAATGCGCGAAAAACAACGCCCTGTTCAAATGCGACAACTGCGCGTACCGCACGAAGAGAAAATACTCTCTAATAAGACATTTCAAAGAGGTGCACAGACTAGCTTACGTTTGCGAAAAGTGCGGTTATGAAACCAACTCGGCGCTATCCTTCAAATTACATGTGCAGACGGAGCATAACAACAACATAATTTCGTACACCTGTAAGGAATGTCCATACATTGCTTTCACGAAAGTGAAACTTAACCAGCACGTCAAAACGCACGACCTTCACAACGTCTTGCTGAAGTGTAGCCAATGCGAGTTCGAAACGAAAGAGGTGGCACGTCTGAACGAGCACAAGATGTGCCATAAACACATGAAAGTGGGAAAATTGTACAAGTGCGAGTTCTGTTCTTATCAGGTGAAGAAAAAGTCCACCATCGACCGCCACGTTTTGACACATTTTACTAAAAAACAGCTGTCTGATAAATTGTACAAGTGTCACCAGTGCCATTACAAGGCCAAGAGGAAGGATAGTTTGGCGATTCATATCCGGAATCTACATGCGGTGCAGCACGGAACAAGAAAATAGCTAGCAGGAGAATAGTGGCTTCTTGAATTGTATACTTTTATTGCAGAACTGTTTTTTTTACTTTGTTGTTAAGATTGAAATGAAGACGCTGTAGTTGAAATTTCACATGGGAATGTATTCGTTTAACAATAAACATAAAACAGTTCTTAAAATTTCCTATTTACAATTTAGTTCTTTAGTTCCTAATGTAATTAATTTCGTCAATATTAATCATCGGGTTAATTATGAACAAAACGAATTAAATGTTTTATGTTGATATTTTTTATATAAATTTAACAGTTTTTATTTAAAAAGAAACATTATGTTTTAAAGCTGAACTATACTACTGCCATTATGTAGACGGGGACACATTTAGGAAAGTTAAAACGGGTGATATTAAAAAGTTATAAAATTTTAAAGGAAATTACGGTATGTTTCTACTCTTTTTTCTTATACAGCCACTTCAGCACCCTATCGGTGCTAGACATATTAAATTATACGAAAATAAACAAAACGGCAACAAAATTAAACCGTGAACAGTTTAAATTTGAGCAGGACCCGATCCGGTTCCCAACACTTACGAGGAGCAAGTAAGAGTAGGCTCTGATGTTCAGTAAAATGTCACATTGCCGCCTCTGAAAAGCCGCTACTGCCTGTTGACTTCACACTTGGTATGATATGACAGGATGATAAACGGGAAAAACAAACTGCCACGTTAATTCAGTAATTTAATTTTAGTTTTCAGTTCAGTTTAAGTTGTTTATATAGTGTAAATGTATAACCTTATAATAAAGTTATTTATTTCAATGTTTAGTGATGGTACAGTGTATTTTTGTGTTTCCATTCTCAAGCTCTTGTGTGGTATTATGAAAAAGCATGTATATGAATCAAGAAAGAGTTGATATGACTACAGCTTACTTTTTGTCAGGAGAAAATGATGCTGTTGCAAGGTGATATTAGATGGATTATCCAGACAAACGAGTACCGGATAAGAAAATATTTATAAGGTCAGTTCAACATTTCAGAGATTATAGGAGCTTTGAACGCCAATATGCTAATAATGTTGGATGGGAACTGACTTAGGCAGTGACAAACTTAGAACCAGAAATTTTAAATGCATTAGAAGAGAATTCTGGTACCAGTGCTCGAATATTAGCCACAAGATTTCAAGTGTGTCAAATGCTGTAAAAATCAGGTGAGTAAACAGATGATGTTTACAGTACAATGATTTTGTACTAGATTACTTTGTAGGTATTTTTTCATAGATTATATTATTTAAAATAAAATTTTAGTCAAAGCGCTGTACTTCATGTCGGGTGATATGAAATGAGCCAACAGTTCATTCAGAATAAGGAAAAAATGCATATTCTTATGTCTTATGTGTATCATTACATTTCCTGAACTTTACACGCTTGTTGAATATACAGAAAATGGCATAACGGTACTATAAACATAGTCGGAGCATTATATAAAAACTATTAACAAATTAATCATAATTAAAGGGCTGAATATATGCAAAGTGCATGTATTTGCATATTTTGCATATTTTAACAAATTTCATAAAAAATTGCATATTTCGTCAAAAATAAAATTTGTGTGCATATTTTTATGTTTTTCGTTTTATCAAAAGATTAAGATAATTTAAATAATTTAAAAGGTGGGTAGGTTTTGTCGGCTCACCCGTTTTATTATTATATGGTTTATTGCCGGCATTTATTGGATGTTTAGGAATTTCCAAGTAATCAACTTGCCTAATGGAGAGCAGATGTGGTCTATTCTTTTGTATTTATATTGTATAGTTTAGTTTGTCGATAGATTCCAGTGTGAAAAGAGTGATTTCGAAAATATTTTATTTCAAACGCCTAAAATGCCGAAAGCCGCTTCGTGGATTAAAAATTTTCCTGAGTTGGAGTTTAGTGGGGATAAAGTGTTTTGCAAAGTTTGTGCCAAAATCATTGTTTGTGAAAAGAAGTTCCAAATTGATCAACACTTGAAAACAGCTATGCATAAAGCTAAGTTGCAGAAAAATAAATCTGTGCCTGTTCAGCAGTGTGTGCAAACCGCATTTCAAAATGTCAAACCAAAGAGTGAAAAGGAGGTGTTTCATCAAGACTTATGCAAAGCTTTAGTCGCAGCAAATATACCTTTGAAGAAACTGCAAAATACNTTAGTTTGATACTCAAATTACTTTTTGTTTTAAAGAAATGTGTAATTTGCCGCTTTTGAACAAGCAGTATCGTAAATTACAAATTTCTTTACACCAAAAAGTAAGTAGAGTTTAAAACCAAGTCCATTTTATAGAAAATCCGTGTTAAAATGGGGGAAAGTCTGTTATTTGTGCATTAATTCATATTTAGACAAACTGTAGTAAAATCAATAAAAATGTATTGCTGGTTGCCTATTTGCTATAAAGCCCTCTTTGTGCATCTTCTATGTCTTTAGCTTTGCTCTCTTTTATTTGTTTATTAAAATAAAATGCCAAAATTAATTTTACAGATGCCTGTAATACGTGTAATATCCGAATCTACTATACACACTTGGGGTACAGATGACGTGACGATATGTTCGGGGGCTTCATCTCCTTTGAAAATGGGCGACGAAGTAGATGTAGGCGGCAGAATAGGATATACAGGGTGATTCAGTCATAATCTCATTAATTTTAAGGGGAGATGGGGAAAAAAATGAGTGGAATACAAACATGCAATTAAAAAAAATTTTAAATGCATATTTATGCGCAAAACAATATTTTCAAATCATTATTTACACCCCTTTTCGGACTGCTCCAAACCGACGACCTACAAAGGTTTCGAGAATAAATCCTGACCTACCTTATTCGGTCACTAACCTAGTTTTTACTGTGTTTTTAATAGTGAACGACAAAAACATACCTTTTTACTTAGACACATGAATGAATATATTTTTTTATAGAGATGGGAAATTTCCCTAACTGAAAATTCCTGGAAAGTTTCCGTTGAAAATTCCGGAAACTTTCCGAAAATTTCAAAAATTTTTTTTTGGATTTGGTATTGTGTTCTACATACCATCAGCTTTCCAAAAAGACCAAATACTTATATACATTTTTATTTATATTGGTATAAATATTGGAAAAATATAAATTATGTATTAATCATCCGTTAGAAAAAATTACATGCTGAGGGTTACAGTGTGTAAATACTATACAGTATACAATATTTATCTTAATTTTTTGAAAAACAAATAGTAAATACATTAAATAATTTTACTAGTTTTAAAATGTAATTGTACTTTGGTTCAACTATCAAAATTCATATTAAATTTGAAAAGGAGGCAATTTATGAGTCTTGTATTGCTCTCTATTATGTAGATTGTAGACTTAACAAAGATTAAAATAAGTAAGTGTAAGTGTTTTCTAACTTATTTGGATAATATGGTCTTCTGGTATTCCGAATTAACCGAAAATCCGAAATTAACCAACGATTTTTTGTGTATGTTCATAGAAGTCAGAAGTAAAATTGGCTCCAAGTTTACAAATTGTTAGAAATATTCCCGGAAAATTTCTGACGGAATTTTTTTCAGAAACTTTCCAGGGAAAATTTCTCAAGCTTCGCTAGAATTAATGCACAAATAACAGACTTTCCCCCATTCTAAAGCAGATTTTCTATAAAATGGAGTTAGTTTGATACTCAAATTACTTTTTGTTTTAAAGAAATGTGTAATTTGCCGCTTTTGAACAAGCAGTATCGTAAATTACAAATTTCTTTACACCAAAAAGTAAGTAGAGTTTAAAACCAAGTCCATTTTATAGAAAATCCGTGTTAAAATGGGGGAAAGTCTGTTATTTGTGCATTAATTCATATTTAGACAAACTGTAATAAAGTCAATAAAAATGTATTGCTGGTTGCCTATTTGCTATAAAGCCCTCTTTGTGCATCTTCTATGTCTTTAGCTTTGCTCTCTTTTATTTGTTTATTAAAATAAAATGCCAAAATTAATTTTACAGATGCCTGTAAGTTCGTAATACGTGTAATATCCGAATCTACTATACACACTTGAGGTACAGATGACGTGACGATATGTTCGGGGGCTTCATCTCCCTTGAAAATGGGAGACGAAGTAGATGTGGGCGGCAGAATAGGATATACAGGGTGATTCAGTCATAATCTCATTAATTTTAAGGGGAGATAGGGAAAAAATGAGTGGAATACAAATATGCAATTAAAAAAATTTTAAAATGCATATTTATGCCGCAAAAAATATTTTCAAATCATTTAAACCCCTTTTCGGACTGCTCCAAACCGACGACCTACAAAGGTTTCGAGAATAAATCCTGACCTACCTTATTCGGTCACTAACCTAGCTTTTACTGTGTTTTTAATAGTGAACGACAAAAACATACCTTTTTACTTAGACACATGAATGAATATATTTTTTTACATTTTAAATATTAGCAAGCGTTACTTATTTCTTAATAAAAACAAATGTATAATTGTTTTTGAATGTTATGTTTAGTATTTTTAATATTATGTTCAATTAATTATTCAGTTTGTAGTACGTATGCCTAGTGACTTATTACTTTTCAAGGTAGTATGATACCTAACGACAGTATGGCTAAAAACACGTATTGCGATCCGCATTGGGTTTTTACTCCATCTACACACGTCTGAAATGTTATAAAAAAGGAGTAAAATTGGCCAAAAACAAGCAAACCATCTGCCGGGGCTTTTATAATCAGATCTTTATTCCAGAGGCCAAAAATACCTCCACAGAAATTTTCAATTTTACAGGATTTTATGCACATTGCAAGTATTTGCTGGCTGATGCACAGTAGACAGTATATTTATAAAGAATTCTAAATGCCCAAACTCGTTACTTCCGAGTTCAAGTAGAAAAAAGATAATTTTTCACTATTTATTTGACCTGGTGGCAACAGTATAACTATCAAATAATGAATTTAAAAACGAAATATGTACATCGGATGATCTCTTTAAGGGGGCTCTATAGCAAATAGGCAACCAGCAATACATTTTTATAGATTTTATTACACGGTTTCTCTAGATATGTATCAATGCACAAATAACACTTTCCTCCATTCTAACGCAGATTTTCTATAAAATTGACTTAGCTTGAAACTCAAATAACTTTTTGGTGTAAAGAAATTTGTAATTTACGACGCCGCTTGATCGAAAGCGACAAATTTCTTTACAACAAAAAGTAATTTGAGCTTCAAACCAACTTCATTTTATAGAAAATCTGCTTTAGAATAGAGGAAAGTCTGTTATTTGTGCATTAATTCATATTTAAACAAACTGTATAATAAAATCTATAAAAATGTATTGCTGGTTGCATATTTGCTATAGAGCTCTCTTAAGTAGCTCGGCCAGCTAAGAAGAATAAGGCGACAAATTTCTCATTTATGTACGTAATTTTCGGTGGCAGCAGCGGGATACCAAAAAATTTGAAAAAGATGGGATTGTCAAGAAGTTGAGGAATAGATAAGAAGACAAGAGGGTTTCTCCACCAATCGCAGTCATTTATATAATTTTAGGGGGTGGGGTCTCAGTTAGAAAAAGGTGCAATCGCTGAAAAAATTGAAGGATTGTTAAAGTTGAGAAACAGGCGGGAAGAAAATGACAAGGTTTCTGCACCAATGCCGGTCATTTACATAATTCTGTTGGCAGCAGTGGGACACCAAAAAGTTTCATTCATTCATTTTATAGCACTAATAATTATTCAATCAAGCCAATAAACATTTCTGTTTTGTCCATAGAATGGTTTGATTTCATTATCGAAAACACTTGCAATGCATTTAGTTCAAGTGCCAATAAGTTAACGGAAGTCATTCTAATTTTCACCGATCCCGTACATATTTCTTACCTGTACATAGTTCCTCCGACCTGAATACCCTTCGGGAACTGTGAAGAACCTGACGGAAGTATCTATCCTTCCGAAACCGCCGAACTCTTTATCATCCGAGCACAAAACGATGCGATACTCCCCTGGCTCCTCGATCCCAACTCTATAATCGGCGAAACTCTTCACCGGATGAAAATTGAACACGAACAACACCCCCGCCCTCTCCAATGCTATTATCTTGTCGTCTTCATGCTTCATGCTGACGTACCCGGGGTGGGCGCCCAGCCACCCGTACTTGCTCTCCGTGTGGTTCATCGCGGCGTCCCACGCGTTCAGGTACTTGTATTTAAGGATTTCGTCGTCGACTAAGTTCCATTGCCGCCTGGCATAGTGGTAGGAGCTGTTGTTGCCGGCCCTGGGGAAATCTAACCATTCGGGGTGGCCGAACTCGTTGCCCATGAAGTTCAGGTAAGCCTCGCCGCCCAGGGTGTGCGTTAGGAAGCGTATTATCTTGTGCAGGGCGATGCCCCGGTCGATGATGGGCGAGGGGTCCGAGAGGGTGCTCATGTGCGTGTACATTTCTTTGTCCATCAACCTGAAATCGTGTTTACAGAATTAGGAGAATAAATCGCAGATCCCCTAGAAACTTTGCTATAAAAAGTTTAATTAAAATATCTTTAAGGGGGCTCTATAGCAAATAGGCAACCATCAATACATGTTGATAGATTTTTATGACACAATTTGTCTAAATATGAATTTATGCACAAATAACAGACTTTCCCCCATTCCAAGACAGATTTGCTAAAAAATGGAGTTAATTCGAACCTTAAATTTCTTTACAATAAAAAGTAATTTGAGTATCAAACTAACTCCATTTTATAGAAAATCTGCGTTAGAATGGGGGAAAGTCTGTTATTTGTGCATTAATTCATATTTAGACAAATTGTGTAATAAAATCTATAAAAGTGTATTACTGCTTGCCTATTCACTATAGAGCCCTCTCAAGTGCTCAAGATAGGCTGTAACAAATTTTTTTTTTAACATAATTTATAAGTTAATTAGATAAACTTTTCCTTTTACTTTTTGTTTTACATTAAACTTTTGAATCCTCGAGAAAAGCTTTCATCTAGCTGTTAAAAAAAGATCAATGAGTAACCTACCTGCTGCTAATAATATTTTCAATATTTTCAGTTATTGAAAATATTCTTATTAAGGCAAAAGGAGAAACAAAATTACAACATTAAATAACTAAATTATCTCCATTTCTGGAGTACTATTAACAATTAAAACAGTTTAAACAGGGTGTAGTCCAGGCGGTTTCTGTTTTAAAAAAGGATATATTTGAGTAAAACACAGAGATTTTTGCTTTAACGGCTTCCAAATAACATCAGAAATGATAATTTTTCTATGCCAATAAAAAAAAACATGGGCTTAATTGTTATTGCAAAAAAGTATAAAAAATTACACAAAAATTCATTTTTTTCTTGGATTTCTCATCGACAACTTAGCAACTATTCGTTTTAGACAAAAATGGAAGAGGAAAAAAGTTTTGTAATTAAATTTTGAACAAGATAGTTGCAATTCAAAAAAATAATTGTCATTGCAAAAATCGGAAAAATCATTTAAAAAATTCCAAAAAAGCTAGATATTTGTCAATTTTTTTCTACACTTGAATAATACCTAGGATCTTCATACTTTTACCAATTAAACTTCTTAGTGTATAAAATCATCACACCAAATTTCATTCAATTTGGTTCTATAGTTTTTACATAATAATTGTTTAATTTATTTTTTTAATTATAAAATTTTCAAAATCAAATTTCAACACAAAAAGAAGAGCTCTCAAGCTTTAAAATGCTTTATGAAAAATTCAAATCGGACGATTAGGTGAGCCGTGGTGATTGTTTAAACATTTTCGCAATTTTCACGCTTATAAACAATTGCAATAATTTAATATTTTTTCAATTTTTTTTTTATTTTAAAATATGGCTTGAAAGTACTCGGAAAGACACTTAAGCCCACGTTTTTTTTTTCATTTGCATAGAAAAATTATCATTTGTTATTTAGAAGCCGTTAAAGCAAAAATCTCCGATTATATGCGTTTTACCCAACCCGAAACAGATACCGCCTGGACTAGTTTAACTTTGAGTGGGGGTCAAATTTATGCAGAGGCTTGACCTTTAGAAACACGTATCAATAGTTTATTTTTTCAAATTCCGTCATGAAAACTTAATTATTTTTGTAACCTTTTTTTTGAAATTTTCATACTCTGCTAATGAACAAGCTAATGTAACATCAAATAACAGCGCCTTTCAGTCGCAACAAATGCACAATTGGCAACTGGTCTCTGCATTGTTCTTAAACATCATATTTAAAGGAAAGGTTATTAAAATGCAAATTTATATTTTCTACGTGGCAGGAATACTCAATTAAAAAAAAGTAACTGAAAATGCCAAATAAATAATTTTTATGATATTTTTACTGATTTTTACCTTATTGGGCATTTTTTCAGGACAAAACTGGGACACTCGGTTTATTTTCACTGAAGGGTATATATTAGGGTGACCCAAAAAAAAACGAATATTTTTTTTCGTGTCTCTTGTGAAAATATGTTAGTTTATCATGTTTTAAGAGCCTGCTCAAAAAATCAGCTCAAAAAATATTTGTTTAGATGTCGCTCAACTCAAGATTATTAAAAATTTCCGAAATCGTGAAAAATTCAATTTTTTTTTTAATTTTTAATCATTTTCTAGGTTGAAAAAAAAACTCGATTCTGAAAATTTCAAATCGATATTTTAATTTCTAAAGGTCACTCATAATTATTTTTATTTAATTTATTTAACATTTTTATTTAGGGATTATTTCGGAATTTTCGGGATTTTGAGGATCAATCCTCAGATCCCGGGACTGAACTCCGTATATAGGTAGGCAGTATAAATTTAAAGGTTACATACCAAAAAGCGATGGTTTTATCGCCTACTAAAGCCTGGTCGTGCGATTCAGCATAAGCGACGTTAGGTTCCATCCAACGTCTGTTGGTCAGGGTGTGAACTATGTCACCCATGTTCCAGTGGTCATCGGCGACGTGCTTGAGCAGTTTTATCCAAGTATCAGGAATGGCCATGGCTAACCTAAATAAAAATGTAAATTTTTACATGTGATATAACAAGTTGTTACTGTAATCGAATCATAAATAATTCAGCTATAATAATTTTAACAAACTGGGATATTTTTGAACATTTATTATAGCAGAGTATGAAGGTATTAAGAGGGCTCTATAGCAAATAGGCAACCAGCAATACATTTTTATAGATTTTATTACACAGTTTGTCTAAATATGAATCAATGCACAAATAACAGTCTGCTCCATTCTAACTCAGATTTTCTATAAAATGGACTTAGTTTGAAACTCAAATTACTTTTTGTTGTAAAGAAATTTGTCGCTTTCAAACAAGCGACGTCGTAAATTACAAATTTCTTTACACCAAAAAGTAAATCGAGTTTCAAACTACGTATTTTTATACAAAAACTGCGTTAAAAATGGGGAATTTGTGCATTAATTCATTTTTAGACAAACTGTGTAATAAAATCTATAAAAATGTATTGTTGGTATCAAGTAAAGATAACGTTCTTTGATACCTAACCTCGCAAGACAATATTGTTAACAGTTGATATTGCAGGGAACGATTATTCTATGGGCTACATGCCCCAACTAGCATTAAATTATACCAGCTGTACCCAGTAAACAACTAAACAATTATCCAAAATAAAAATAAAAAATGATGTCTAAATATTATTTATATAAAAACACATACGACATAGTGCAATTGGTAAACACTGCAATTTTTCAAAGAAATGTCTGTGCCCTCTTAAAGTCATCCACATACAATGAGAAATGACAATGCTTGAAACAGTTAGATGTATTGTTTGCATATACAGGGTGTTTGTAAATAAGTGCCAAATATTTTAGGTTCATACACGTATGTCGAAATATGCTTCATTTCCGTGATAGAGCGTTTAAATTTTAATTTTTTATTTATTTTTATTAATTATTTTAAAGTTTTAAAAGTTATTGTTTTAACTAGATCGACAATGGATAACGAGGACAACAATAATACGTTTACTACTATCAAACGAAAGCGGTAAGTTTGCATCTTTTTTGTTTGTCGTGATCCAACCTATCACTTGCTAAAATAATAGTAGTCTTTTCTCTAACACCATGTCCTTTGTTTCTACAAACCTCTTGTCTGGGTTTGCACGTTATCATTTACAGTGAAATAACTAATTGAATTTTATGTTTATTTTTCCTTTTAATTAAAACGAGAGGATTGTATTAAACTGGTCAAAATTATTTATTGTTGCATTAAAACATTTTATCTCTTTTGTGTGTATTTCATACATTTTAATTTGGCAACACTGATTTGCACAAAGGCATCGAATGGCATGACATTTTTTGACCAGGACCATACTAAGATTTATTTCTTCGCTACAAAATTGAAGTTCAATTTTCTTGACAAAACGTGGATATATGAATTTCTAATATAAGGCTTTTTTACTGCATATATTCCTAGGAATCTGCATTTTATTTTTTCTACACTAGATGCCACACCCTGTATTTAAAAAAAAGAAAAAATGCGACCCCCCGAGATTCGAACCCCGGATCTTCAGTTTCGCAGTCGTGAGATTACAAAATGAGCTATGGCGATCTAAACTACCTACCCTGGATCTCCGAGAATGTAAACAGAAAATTAAAAATGTTCAAATCAAGTTTTATCGTCTCTAAAAGATCGGAAGCGGTGCCTAACGGCAAAATAACGACTCACCGTGGCCGGATTGGCCGGGAAAACGTATCAAATGGCAAAATTTATGTTGACGTCTCAACTGACCTCTATTTAAATATCGGATATACCTACTTCGGGTATCTCTATCCCACCGAAAAAAGTAAATTTTCGGCGAGGACTCTTTTTAAAGTGGAAATTTCACATCAATCAACAATTTCATACAAAACTTTTTTCTAAAATTAAAATTAAAAAAGTTACTGGGACTCATTTTCGGCTAGCAACTATCGAAATTTTTACAATTCTCTATTAAAAAAGCTTTACCTGTAATCAAAGCCTAGGCATCCCTCCGTAACGGGCCGGCAAGTCCCCGGCATCCCCGAAACGTCCTCCGCTATGGTAATCGCATCCTTGTACAACTCGTGGATCACATAGTTGGCGAGCATCAAGTAAACCACCCCCTCGGTATCCACGCCAAGGCTGAAATAATCGTCGTAGTGGCCCCCGAAGCCCTGCGCGATACCCCTCGAGTGGTACAGCATAGAAGTGACCCCGTCGAACCGGAAACCGTCAAACTGGTACTCCTCCATGTACCAGCGTATGTTAGACAGCAGAAACCGCAGAACCTCAAACTCGGAGTAGTTGAAAAGCCTCGAATCCCAAAGCGAATGCTCGCCCCTCGGACCAGTATGAAAATAACAGGAATCCGTCCCGTCGAAACGATTTAAGCCGTCCATTACGTTCTTGCTGGCGTGAGAGTGGACGAGATCCAGCAAGACGATAAGTCCGAGCTCGTGAGCTCTGTCGACCAGACGTTTCAGTTGTTCGGGGGTGCCGTAACGACTCGATGCCGCGTAGAAGCTGGTAACTTGGTATCCGAAGCTGGCGTAGTAGGCGTGCTCCATGACGGCCATGAGCTGAATGCAGTTGTAGCCCTGCTTGACGATTCGAGGTAGGATGTTGTCAGTGAAGTTGTCGTAGCTGCCGACTTTGAGTTCGGAGGTGGCGATGCCGACGTGGGACTCGTATATGCGCAGGCTCTTCGGTCGGGGCACTTTGGGGTGTTTGAAGACATATTTCTAAAAAAAATGAGTGAATTAAAATATTGGGAACAGAAAGTACAGTAAAAAGACCACTATAAGAGTCTGCATTTATTTTGTTAAAATAGTGATAGGTGCATTTCAAATAATTCTTAGAATTTTGTTGCTTGAATAATCTCAATGACGAGGTAAGTAATAATAGAATACATATTAATGCAGGGTATTCCATAAGTACATGGGGCAACAGCAGATTTTACACTAAAATATTACAATTTAACCAAACTTACTCAAGTAAAGAATTGATATTGTACCTTAAAAAATTATCAAAATGTAGGAGTCATTTTTGCTATTCAAATTAGGCGCTCTCAGTTGAACGTTCCTTTTAGTGTTTATGTGTTTGTGTGATGAGGAGTATGTTATGCAAAAATAAAGTTTGGAAAATTAGAACACGTTTATTAATATCCTTAGTGTTACAAGTAGGTTGTCAATTGGGGAGAGAAAACATCCCTACAGAAAAATTGATACTTTTATTTGCAGTTTTCAAAAAAGCTATACTCAGTAATATTAAGATTACGAATTTTTGTAAAAAAGATTGCCTTGTTTCAAGTCGATAACCGAAATTTGAAACTTTTTGTGAAAATAAAAAAAGAAAAAAAATTCTTAAAGGTGGAGGGCCCTTAAGGCCGGTTTTTGGCTGAAAAAATCTGAAAATTTTTTTTTTAGTACCTACTAGCAATACTGAATCGTTTCATCCTAAACGGACAAACCCCTCACCCTCCTTTCCCCCTCCACCCCCTTAAATGCCGGGGAAACCATCACTTATTAGAGATATTTTTAAAGAGCTTAGAGATGTGAAAGACATTCAATTCCTATGAATCTTACATATGAAGAGTTTTTTGGATCGCTGATCACAAATCTGGTCTCAGAATCACGAAATTCAAAATGGCGGACCCAATATGGCGAACAAGAAAAATTGAAATGTCTTCAAAATGCATGAATTTTTTTGTAATGGGGTTTTTTGGGACTATGATTACGAATCTGGACTCTAAATCACGAAATTCAAAATGGCGGATTTAATATGGCGGACAAAAAATTAAAATGTCTTTAAAATGCATGAATTTTTGTGTAGTCCCCACTTTTTTGGGCTCTGATTACGAATCTGAAGGCAGAATTACGAAATTCAAAAATAATCCTCAAATATTTGTTTATAGAAACTTTCTTGGATCACTGATTACAATTATGAATTCAGAATCACGAAATTCAAAGTGGCTAATCAAATATTTTTTCTTTTTAGTTTTATTCAATGTAAATGTGTATCTCATTTGAGGGGGTGGAAGGGGAAAGGAGGGGGAGGCGGTTGGTCCGTTTAGGGTGGAAACGATTCAGTATTGCTAGTAGGTACTAAAAAAATTTTTTCTATTTTTTTAGCCAAAAATAAATTTGGTTAAAAACCGGCCTTAGGGGCCCATCTCCTTTAAACATTATCTAATGTAAAATTGTGGGAGTCATGAAAAAATCTTTTTCATTTTGACTATTACATAATATTTAGAAGTAACAAACATGTTCCTTTAATTCTTTTCAAAATTAAATCAACATGTCAATTTACAGGTAAAAATTTCTCTCAACATTAGTCTTTTCATCATTCATTTGTACATTAAAGGTAGATTTTCCAAAAAAAAAGTTGAGGAAAAATAGTTTTTGAGAACCATTGTAGAGAATGTGCAATAATTTGTTGAGATATCGATGATTAAAGACAGAAAGTATCATTTTTCATTCAACCATTGATATCTCAGCAACAAATAGTTATACGGAGATTTTTCTAGATTAGTATTTCTTTTGATTGCTCCATAACCGTAGCTCAAAAGTTTTGTTGTCAAAAGATCTTGAAACTAGAAACTTGACAGCTTTTTTTAATCTCGATACGTAAATTTTCCACCTGTCAAAAATCACTAAATTTATTATTTTTTCTGTTCCCTTAATTTTTTTCAGTATTGTGTGTAAAATTCAATGGTCTCCTTCAGTTGTTTTCAAAAGAAATTAGTGTCTGGGCTCCCTGGTGCATATGACAGGTTGGAAGTGTTTACTGTATTACCAAGATATCATATAATCATATCAACTTACTGCATGTAAATTTATTTATTTTATTTTTATTAATTATGGTAAATTTTTGTTGCAATATTTTAGATATGTCAAAAATGTTAATATCAATTGTATTTATATTCTAAAATTTTCTAGAAAAATAGAAGAAGCAGTTTTTACTGTACTGTAAAATGTTATTAACCATCATCGAGAACTTACTTCCTCAGTCGGAGGATTCCACAGTTTCTGCTTGTATATCGTACCCTCATGTTTTGGAGGTTCAACGACATAGGTAGCATAAGGAGACAACCTATCTTCTTTCCCTCCTTCCTGTGTTTGCACTACAATCTATATATAAAAAAGTAAAGGTAAGTAAACTACAACAAAAAAGCATTATCCCTTCCATTTTAAATAAATTTATACAATCAAAAACAATAATTTGGTTAATTAAACTTTTCATCAGTAAAATATAAAGATTTTAAAGTTATAAGGACATTAATTTCTTAATACTTAGTACATAGCCTACATAAATGATTACTAGCCACCTGACCAGTAACTTTGGAACAGTATTTTGTTTCTTTCACATTGGCAATTAAATTTCGGTAATTTTAAAAATTATTAAAACAATAAGTTCAAGATTACATTAAAACAACATTCTGTTTCACCACTGGTGATTGGTGTAATTNTTACCCCGTCCATTTTAAATAAATTTGTACAATCAAAAACAATAATTTGGTTAATTAAACTTTTCATCAGTAAAATATAAAGATTTTAAAGTTATAAGGACATTAAATGATTACAAGCCACCTGACCAGTAACTTTGTTTGGAACAGTATTTTATTTCCTTCACATTGGCAATTAAATTTCGGTAAATTTAAAAATTATTAAAACAATAAGTTCAAGATTACATTAAAACACAACATTCTGTTTCACCGACTGGTGATTGGTGTAATTTTTCACGAGATTTTATTCAACCAATCAAATCATTAATATTGATGATGCTAAGATTTAGGGATTTTTAGTTAACCATACCAGCCATGTTGGTTGATTAAGCTCAAAGGTTAAGTGGCTTGTAATCATTTATTAAGGCTCTGTAGCTAAAATATACAATATGTACCCTTGCTACATACTGTTTCGGATGATTAAATTAAAAGTTTGCTACAATTTTCTTATTTTAATTGAAGAATAACTAAAAAAAGAAGGACTTCTCATATGAACAGTCCTAAATTTGATTTAAAAAATAGTTATTAATCATTTTCAGTCTGACAAAATTCAAATATTGTAGCAATTGAAGTCAAAAAACAATTTAACTTGGATATGATAATAATTCTTGTAAACTCCCACTGTACTTTATATTATATCTACCTTTATTTCTGATAA